CATTAGCTTTCCTTTTCTCTCATACTGTTTGCCTAGAAATGGAAGCCAGGGTTCTTTCGGAAAGCACTTGAGCTGAGGCTCTTTAAGTCAACTGCTGCAGGAAAATATAACTGAATTCTCAATGCAAGAAAGTACCACAATTGGACTATTTCTTTCCAAGAAAAGTTCTTTTTGAAAAAATAAAATACTATATTATTATCTTTGAATAAAATGTAACATTAGCATTCTAGCGGAATTGCTTATTATTCTTCAGTAAGAAATATTTTCAGTTTTTTAAGTTATTTGGTCAACTCATCACCTTTAATACCATTCAAAGAGCACCCAGTTCTGCTTCTAGTTTTAAATATAAAAAGGCCTCCAAGTTAAAATATACCAATTTTATTTTGAAAGTATCTTACTTGTGTAGTTAAAATTTTTATTTCTAAGTTTCTGGCTTTTGTGTTTCACTACAAGAGGAAATTCAATTAATAATTAAAAGTTTATTTAACCATGATCAAGTAAAAACAGGATGTAATGTGTAATCTGGAACTTAAACATTCCCATTTTTTTAAAATAACTAGTATAGTATTTGCTAAAATTTGACTCATTTTGTAAAGGCTAGGAAATTTCAGGCTAAAGTTTAAACACACACACTTTAGTTTATAGTAACTAAACACACCCCGCCTAGGTTTTACCTTCTACATCCTCATAAAACGTACCAAATGTAATGATGATGGAGAAGGTAAAGCCTAGAGAAGTCTGAAGCTTATGGACTACCGAAAATCCAAAACAAAAAAAAATTCAAATCACACCCTGAATGTCCTCCTCTTTTTAGGAATGTCTGCAGCTATCCTAACATCACAGGTCTGGGCAGAAGCAAGCTGATGTTGGCACTGTCTAAACCAAACAAACAAGATGTTTAACAGTCAAATAAAATGTCCTGCAGCCTCCCTAATGAATTTGTCAAGGACCATCAGATTTCGCTCCCCCTCTTTTGCCTCATTAACTCAAGTATGATGAGATGGATTATAACAAGAGAATACAGATCAATCGGCCTGAAGACTTGAAGTGGCTTTTAGCCTCTAGAGTTTCTTTCTCTCACTTGGTCTCCTTTAATAGAACGTGGTATCTCCTGCAGAAGGGGCTGCCACTTCGTTTTAATACACCATCAAGGAGCTGCTGATGGACTTCTATACTAACATACATAAAAGCAGAGGTGACAGGGGCTCTTCAATTACAGCCTCCTCAGATACCGTTTCCCCCTTCAATTATTCAACCAGAGGAAGAGAGCGAGCGGATTCGCAAACAGCAGAAGCAGCTCAGTTCCGAGAGCGGAGGCGGCCTAGGGAGTTGGGTGGGGGAGGGGGAGAAGGGAACTGGCAAGAGGGAGCATTATTTGCTGGAAGTGTTTAAGTTTATTGCTCGAATGATGTTTCTAATTAGTACCGCGACAATAAATTAAAGTCGCCTTTGTTTAACTGATTTATTATTTACTAGAGCATCTACCTTAGACAAGGGTAAATTGGTAATGGATTGTTTTTAAATCAAAACATTTGTAATGTTTTATCAACTCTCAGCCTCTGTTGTAAAAGTGGGGAAACGCTGGGAAAAGGGTGCAAGAAACTTAGCTGTGCTTGACAAAGCGGAGAGGAGAGGAGAAGAGAGGAGAGAAGAGGAGAGGAGAGGAGAGATGTGGGATGTCAGGCAATGGCGTCTAGCTCAGCAAGGCCTGCGCCGCCTCGCTAGGCAGAGAGGCATGCATGGACCGAGTCCCTGGGCGCCTACCCTGGACCGGCGGTACGCAGCGCCATGGCCCGGAGGATGCACTACCGCAGTCACGCCCAGACCTTTTCGCACTCACTCACTCCCAGGGGCATCTCAGGCCGTGAGGACCAGAGGAAATGAAGAAGTGGCCACCTCCTCGAGGGTTGGGGAGGGAAAGCATTGCCCCCTCTGGCCCTGCCAGGAGGCTCTCCCCAGCTAAGGGCCCTTTCCTGGCTGTTCACACAACTCCCTGCACCAAAGTGTCCCTCCTGCCCAGTAATATTTCCCAGGGCGACGGTGTGACCCACAGGCAATAGGCGGGTAATCCACGGAGTCCGGGCTTCCCACATGCCAACCCCAAAGGAGCCCCAGCTCAGCATCCTCAGGCAGCCCAGAGTCCGCTCCCCTCCCCCGCACGTCTCTGCCACTCCTGGGTAGTTGACTAAAGCTGTGTCCAAATTTCAAGTATGCTTACTTGCAACTGTGTATCCCAACTCCTCACTACTGAACACAGATTCCACGCAATAAATTCGACTTAATTTTTTTTTAAATGTCCCAATGGTTCTTTCGAAAGGGACTTAGGACAACAAAGTGAATGGGTGACAAGGTAGTGGACTAAACCAGCCACGTAAGAAAAGACTAAGAGGTCCAAGCATCTGGCAGGAAGGAGGAGGAGAGAAATAAACTTCCCCTAAGCAAATGAATTCAGGTTCACCTGGTCCCGTTTTAAGAAAGCAAGTCAAGCCCTCCCAAGGGATTTTGAAAAAGCTGCATGCCAGGTTTTGCAAAACGCAGTCTTCCCCAAAGGGCTTCATAGTTTCATCCTTACAGCATTATCAAAAAATACAATGTACTGACTCTAAAAATAATAATAATTATTATTATAATCCCGCCTATTTGATTTGTCTAAAAAAAGACTCAGAAAGCAGACAGACATCCAAGGTTCAAACATAAACCCTGAATATTGAGCAAATCACAAACACTGTCATAGCTTTTTCATACAAAAGTACCGAAACGCTACAATGGGTACAATACATACACTAAAGCACAAGCATGTGTTTCATTGAAATGCCAAGGGAGGAGTGAAGCCATCTGTGTAATCAATAACAGGATAGTTATAGATTTTTGCATTGCAGTAGTGAGTCTTTTAAAAGCAAAAGTCAATTATGAAAATAAATTCATTTTACAAATGAAACAGTATTACCTCCGAAAATACTCAAAATTAGATTTACAACATTGGCATTTTAAGAAAATTTTGATTCAGGTTCACATTTACTTCCTTTCGTTTTTAAGTTCAAAACGGTTTCAGTGACTTATTTTGATGTAAACATACATCCAACAAAATCCTACCATTTATAAATCTGCACCATCTCTCGAAGCTTAAATATATTTTCTAATAACTGGCTAATTATGGTTAGTCCTTGTAAGAACAAAGTAGTAGCATTAAATATACCTGAATCTTAATTATGAAGTATCAATTATCAAGCAAGGTGCTTGCACTACTTTTGCCCTGCCCCATTTTTTTAAAAACAGCATATGAAAATTACTGAAAAGAGATTTATAGTCATCAACCCTCATCCCATACCCACCCCCACACACACTGGTGCACTTATACAGCAATTGCTCTGGCTCTTGGCAACAATGGGGGTGGGCAGACTTTAGGAGAGAAGAAAATCTAGAAAATGTTGGGTCCTTTCCCAAATTCCCATCCTCCTCCCATTTGCCTTTAAGCGAAAGTGATTTTGTTAGTTTGCACCTTCTTCACTATGTTGATAGAGAGAACAAAAAAAAGTAAACCTTTCTGAACCACTGCTACTCTCCCTCCAGTTACTCTGGTCATCTCCAGGAAGTCCTTTCTATATAGACTCTTTTTCTTCCTTGCAACTGATAAGAGAGGAGGATAAAGAACAGGGGGCTGTAAAATGTGTGTGAGCATTTGACTGCTACTATCTCCTCCTATTTTCTTACTTCTCCCTTTACCCTCTTTCTTTATCAAGCGCAGCGGTGGCTGCTACTGTGGGCCAAGCATGCCTGTCTTCTCTCTCGGATTGGCTAAAGCAGTGACAGCTTGGATAGTGATTGTACGAACTGAAGCTCCACCCCCCTCATGATGGCCCTGGACCATTCATAAACTAAATAACTCCAGGAAACAGCAAGGCAGGGAGAGGGGAGAGTGGGGAGAGAGAGGTGAGCGAAAGAGGGCTAGAGAGATTTAGAGAGAGGAGAGAGGAGAGAGGAGAGAGGAGAGAGGAGAGAGGAGAGAGAGAGAGAGAGAGAGAGAGAGAGAGAGAGAGAGAGAGAGAGAGGAAGGGAGGGAGCAAGGGAGGGAAGAGAGATTAGGAGGGGACAGGGAGAGAGACCTCAGAGGGGAGGAGGGAGAGAGGACTCAGAAAGTGGAATCTGCACAAGCAACCTAAGGGGGAGGAGAAGAAAAACCCTAGAATCATTATAACTAAAACCCAGATGCAACGCAAGCAAAGACTTCGTCACATTAAAATACACTTTGTGAGGGCCAAGATTATAAATTACGAAGCAGAAATGAATATCAAACAACTTCCAGCGGTTTGCACCTAGAGAAAAACAAGAAGAAGGCGCTGCAAACAAACAAGTCCAGTCCTAACAACGCCTCCAGGAGGAAAAGAGGAATACCGCTACAACACGACCCCCTGAGAAGTGGCCAGACCAGCACGCTGAGCGCGCAGGACGTCTGCACACCTCGGAGGGTGCCACTGTCTCGGTGCACTTCGCTGCTCTCTGGACATTTAATTACATCCTTCACCTTGAATTTGGGGGAGGGTGAAGAAGACACTCACCTAGGCTGAGTGAAGAAGTCCTACCGGCTAGGAAGACAAGTTTAAGAATGAAACGCTGAATGTTTCGCTTTTATTTTTAAATTTCCTTTGGCACTTAAAAGATCTCATTTGCAGATTTCTGGACAATCTTGGCAGCAGATATCTAAACTAACCCTCTTGTTAACCTGAAGTTTTCTCCTCTTCTCTTTTCCCTTCTCCCCCTTATCTCTCTGGCAAGCACATCTTTATTTTGCATATCAAGAGAAAGCAAGAAAGTCCCAGCAGGTACTTTTCTTTTTTAAAAGATCACTTTTTCCCCTCTCTAATTTTCTGGAGAAGAAAAGGATTTCGGTCAGAGGGGAAAGGGAGATCTGGCCTGCTGTCGCATCAGCGGGTCAGCCCAGGTGGAAAACAAGAGTGAAAGTGGGGCTGAAGGGGAGCGCACCGCCTCTTTTGCAAGCCGCAGGGCCACCACCAGTGCGTGAGCCTTGGATCCCTCAACGTATTGCGAGACGCCGGTGTATAGCCCGGACCTGTGCCCCAACATGATCGCCGCTCAGGCCAAGCTGGTCTACCAGCTCAATAAATACTACACGGAGCGCTGCCAGGCGCGCAAGGCGGCCATCGCCAAGACCATCCGAGAGGTCTGCAAGGTGGTCTCGGACGTGCTGAAGGAAGTGGAGGTGCAGGAGCCTCGCTTCATCAGCTCCCTGAGCGAGATCGATGCCCGCTACGAGGGGCTGGAGGTCATCTCGCCCACAGAGTTCGAGGTGGTGCTCTACCTCAACCAGATGGGCGTCTTCAACTTCGTGGACGACGGCTCCCTGCCCGGCTGCGCGGTGCTCAAGCTGAGCGACGGTAGGAAGCGGAGCATGTCTCTCTGGGTGGAGTTCATCACCGCGTCGGGCTACCTCTCGGCGCGCAAGATCCGTTCTCGCTTCCAGACGCTGGTGGCTCAGGCGGTGGACAAGTGCAGCTACCGGGATGTGGTCAAGATGATCGCGGACACCAGCGAGGTCAAGTTGCGCATCAGGGAGCGCTACGTGGTGCAGATCACCCCGGCGTTCAAGTGCACCGGGATCTGGCCTCGCAGTGCTGCGCAGTGGCCTATGCCTCACATCCCCTGGCCCGGCCCCAATCGGGTGGCGGAGGTCAAGGCCGAAGGGTTCAACTTGCTCTCCAAGGAGTGCTACTCGCTGACGGGCAAGCAGAGCTCGGCGGAGAGCGACGCCTGGGTGCTGCAGTTCGGGGAGGCCGAGAACCGCCTGCTGATGGGCGGCTGCCGAAACAAGTGTCTGTCGGTGCTGAAGACCCTGCGGGACCGCCACCTGGAGCTGCCAGGCCAGCCGCTCAACAACTACCACATGAAGACGCTGCTGCTGTACGAGTGCGAGAAACACCCGCGGGAAACGGACTGGGACGAGGCGTGCCTGGGCGACCGGCTCAATGGCATCCTGCTGCAGCTCATCTCCTGCCTGCAGTGCCGCCGCTGCCCGCACTACTTTCTGCCCAACCTCGACCTTTTCCAGGGCAAGCCCCACTCGGCCCTGGAGAGTGCTGCCAAGCAGACCTGGAGGTTGGCCAGGGAAATTCTCACCAATCCCAAAAGCCTGGACAAACTATAGGGTGCCGGGGACTGCTTGAAAAGCGATGCACACGGGAATGCTCTCATCCACCCCAACACACGACAAACAGCCAGCGGGAACTCCGGACACAAACTTTTATGCTAAGCACCTAAAAGAAGCAGGAACCAAGCAGCAGCAGAGCTCCGTGAATGCACAAGCCAACAAAAAGAGAGCAACCCGACCGACAAACCAAACACCACAAAATCACATCCTTGCACAAAGTGATCGTTCTCTTCCAAACAATGTGAATTTAAGAGGTCACACAAAAGAAGCAATCGGGCTTTGCCACCACAAAATGAAACCCAAGGTACATTTTCAAATCAATGTATAGTAGTTCTCCCTTTTTCCTTCTCTCCCTTTCTCTCCTCTCCTTCCTTCTCTCCCTTCTCTCCCTCTCTCTCTCTCTCTTTCTCCCTCTCCCTCACTCTCTCTTTCTCTCTCTGACTCATTTCATTTTGTTTTGGGTTGCCTGAATGTTGTCACCAAGTGAAAAAAAAGTATTTAATTATATGTAAAATTTCTCTTTTAAAAAAAGTTTTGCTGATGTTAAATGTATCTCAGTGCCAATGTCAGATTGTGCTCCTCCCTCTCTTGCACCTCTACCCTCACCCTAAGCAGTCTTGTTGAAAACAGTAATAAAAATATTACTTTACATTATAATTGACTGTTTGTGGATTGTTCTTAATGAAGGCAGGTGAGATCACAACTTACAATTCACAATGTAAAGATGTGAATTTGAGCAGCTAAACACAAGAAGCTGCCATTTGAACTTTAATTTGCAAAAACCACAAATACAGCACATTTTGTAGGTTTAATCATTCAAATTCCGAACAAAATCCTTAGAAAAGAGAAAATATTAATTTTTACTCAACAAGATAATGTGTGTGTTTTAAGATTAAAAGTAATATCTTCCTTCACACTTGAAAAAAGAATACATTTTATATAGAAAAACAAATTTTGATCCTAATTTTTAAAGAGAGAAAAATTATTTCATATTTACAATGAAGGTATTCGCTTTTTATGCCATAATTTTTAAAAATTCACTCTGAGACTGCAATACAAAGGAAATACTTGTGGATCTTTTCTGAAGAGTTAGCACTATCAGTTGACACTTTTCCTTCAATCATTTGTCCTCTTCAAGTTTTAAATAATAAAAGCTTAACAGTTAACTCAATCACACCAAAAAATGAATAAAGTGTTTATAGCAATAGTCCTTTTCCTAGCAAATGGTAATATGAACAATCCAGATTTATGAAATACTTCAATATTTTAAATTGCTTAGTTATAAATGTCATTACTATGGTCATTTTTTCTTTTAAATCCCTAGAATTTTTCATGATTATTCTGAAGCTTCTTATAGGCAATTCAAACCAAAAAAAAGGTTTGGATATAATATTTCTGACCAAAGGAATATTACTGTTTCAAGAATTTACAAATAGGAAAAGTACTTTCTGTTCTTTCTGCCTTTCTATGGTAACAATCCAATATACCCATTACATTTCAACTTAGAGAAAGGTTTCTTTTTAAAACAAGAAAATAACTGATTATAAAATAAAGTAATTGGTAAAACTGAAAGTATCCGAAACAAACTGATTTCTCTTATTCATATTGGAGGCAACTATGTACTCCATTAGATATGCTAATGCTAATGATGAGGCACAGGTACAGAATTTATGTCAGATGTTATCCTGTAAAATTTATTCTTTAAATTATCCCAGTTTTTAATTTAATGAGGAAAATCCATGAATAAGAGATATAAAGAAAAAATGTCCTAAAATAGCAATTTTACAGAACAGAGGAAGAAGTGGGGGAGGGAGTGTAAGGACTGATGAGCAGCAGGACAACAGGAGAAAGGGATGAAAATCAAGGAAGGTACTTAGAGCTCTGGTTCACTTGACCAAACAGGCTTCAGCCATAAAATTCCCTGGTGAAATTTCCATAGTAAAAATAGTTCTAGTCTAGAAATATAAACTTTGATCTCATTAGCTCTGAAATCATCTCCACTCTAAACTTATGTCTTTTCTGTAGTTGCAGAACAAATGCACTGTAAGAATAAGTGGTGCAGAAAATTCGCTAATTTTTAAAAAATAATAAAAATGAATTTATTCTCTTGGGAAAATGTTCTGATTTTTAAGAACATTTTCAAAGCAAGTAAGAGGTGCTTACATTTACAAAGTAATGATTTAAAGACAATGTTTAGTTTAAAAGATTAAAATAACATCTTAAAATGACCATTTTTTTCACTCTCAAAAGTATTTACAGTATTAGTCACATATCTCCCTCTAATTATCCCAGGAAAAGCTTTTAACTTTTGACAAAAATAAACAAAATTTTCCAAAATTCAGTATCTTTTTCCTTCCTTATTTAATTTGATGCAATCTACACAAGTGTCCTCACTACAAACAGCCTTAAAGCACCAATGTCTATTCAAAATAAATTCTTCCAAAAACAGATTGAAAATTTTTTCAATATAAATTAGCCTAAATTTTTATTTCTGTAACATTAGGCAGGTTGCTGTGGAACAAAACAATTTCTGTGACTAAGGTAAAAGACCCCTGCATTGCACAAGCAACAGGGGGAAAATTAATTTAATGATGCTACACAGAGTAAGATCAGAGGAATATAAAAATTATAACTTCCCCCAAAGGAACAAATAACTTCAGTGAATCTAATTGCAAAGACTGGCAAAAATTCCAGTATTAAGTACAATTACTTAGACACCTTTAAATCACAATTTAGATTTTAAGCCATGTATGTCCAAAAGCCTAATCGATATTCTGAGTTAAATTCCAGCCTCTAAAACTCACAAACTACCACAAATTAGAGAATGTAATTCATTTTGGTAAACTTTCTTTCCTAAAGAAACTAAAATACATTTTCAGACATTTCAACTCTGTAACAAAGTAAAAAAAATAATGCAAAAAATCTGAAGTAAAGTTTTCTCTATGCTGGATTAGCTGAATTATCAAGGTCAAAATGAGCTGTTTCACTGTAGCTTTCCTTTTGTACAATCTATCAAATCCTGTTAATAAAGGCAGCAATTTCGAAACATTGTATTAGAAACATACATAAGACAAAAGATGATTATAAAGTTTTCAAGAAAATTATAACATTTTCACCAAGAACTACTTTGAAATACTTCTAAATCACTAAAACTTAATAATTCACATGATTACAAAACCTAAGAACCTTCCACTAATAAATTCAGAATGTATATATGTGTGTATGAATGTATCTATGTGTGTAGTATGCACACACACAAAAGCTATCAGTGTGTAAAATATTCCAATTTTTTAAACCACTTTTCTTTCTACAGGATGCTTATTTTGCTCATTTTCAACAAGACCTTCCTCTCAGAACAAATCCTACCATTCACATTCATGAAATAAACATAATTTTGGCTTTATGGCCTAGCCACAAATGTTTCTTAGTAAAATAAAGTTGCCAAGGTCTGAAAAGTAATCAGAAATGCATTTTAAAGAGGAAATTACATTTTCATTTAAGAATAGGAAATTATGCAGCGCCTTGTAAAATCGACTTCAGGTAATGGGAAACAGAGTACCTCATACACACACGAGACACGCATGCACAACAGAGTAGTAAGTCATGAGGACAAAGCAAGGAGAGTGATATATTGGTATTATACCTAGAAAGCAGAAAGGCTAAACAAAATAATTCGTCTCTCGATCTCACTGAATTTTGTAGCTTAATTCACCCTGGACCCTTTGAGGCAAAATATATTTATAGAAGATATTCCCTGAGGTTCTTCCCCCACCCTTGAATGAGCTAATGATAAATGCAATTAAGTGGGAATTGTTTTTGAATCTAAATGAACTTCAATAATCTAACTAACTGGTAAGGGAGTCATAAGCTAAAGAAAATAGTTGCCTGCAAAGAGACAGAAAAATCAGCAAGAAATTCAAACTAAGTCTGTCAGATTTTACCAACGCCAATCCCACTTAATAGCAGTGCACCATCCCATCCAAAGAAAAATACAATTCCATAGAAACGAAGCCCGCTCCTCATCGTCTCACCTTGGGGTCGATATTCTTGAAGTTGGGGTCCTCTTCATCCACCTCGAAATAGAGCTCGGAGGAGGTGACAGAAAGAATGCCCTTCACTACAACAGAGGGGGCCACAAGCTGAGCTGGTGTGCTCAGGCTAACAGGACCTGCCAAAAGGAAAAGGCAAGCTGCAAAGCTGGAATGACATTTTTCAAGAATTCAAATAGATTCAAGCAGAAATTTTATTTAATTTAAAAATTCTCATCCCTAGCACCAAATTGCCTGCCGACTCCTACACTTACAAATTCTGTTGTCCCCCCAAACTTCCTCAGAAAATGCGAAGTTAGGGCTCTCATACTAAGAGATTTCTAATAGGCGATTAATGATAACAGTAAGCCAGGATGCAATTATTTTATTGGGAGTCTGCAAAGCTTTGGTCTAGTCTGGAAAAAAGGGCAGCTCTACCTAAATAAGTCCATCCACATTCCATTTAGAAAACAAGCCTCAGGCTATCAAACAACATGGAACAACAACCAGCAGCAAGGAGGACTCAATAGGCTCCCAAGGCCAGAGGTTAGTTTAGAGTTTGGCTGAGGCATGATTATAAAAAGATCACTAGCTTATTAGCAAAGTGAGAAACATTACACCATATTCTCTGGTAAAGATTTTGTGCCAGGCTGACACAAAGCCTCTTCCGTAATAACTTTCCCCATGAAAGATTGGTTAAAAAATACTTATTTTATAAGCCTGCCTTTCCACTGTTAAATTTTGTTCAGTGCTTCCAAATCTAATATTAGTGTAGTTCAGGGACTCTGGGAGTAAACAGCTGGAGGGTGGGTTTCCAAGTGAATGAATTTTTATTGGAATAATCAAATCTCCACAGGGCTTATCAAAGAGACAAATCAGCCTGCTACTGAAAACAATAGATTCAATACAGATAGAAGAGCACAAAGTATATTGGAGCTAAATATAAAATAACTAAAAAATAGTGATTATATTATATATACATATAGATTTACGTGGAGATTCAATGTAGCAAGAAACTGAAATATCATGTTAATTCTTCATTGTACAAATCCTATAGGTGAAGAAAACAGCAAGAAAGATTGGCACTTAGAGGTCTGAATTAATATAGTGCCTATAAACACAGCACACCTATTCAGGTAATCAATGGGTGAATAAGTGTTTCAAAATTCAGATGAATTGACATTTCCATCGATTGTTAGAAGGGTGTTGGTCCTTAATCTCACATCAATCTTAATGTGTGCCAGTAGGACAATAGAAGGGATGCTCTGCGGAGATCAGAGCAGGTTTTGCCCTCTATTCCCAATGTACAAATACATTGTGTCTGCAGATGGGCAGCAGATAGCTACGGAACAGCCATGATTTCCCAAAGCTCATCCCTATAAATGGATGAAATAAGCAGCTATGTGTTCTTTTGCTGTCTCCTTTGCCCTCTGTACATTAGCATGTAATCCTGAGAAGAAATAACATTTTTTCAATCACTCGCAGACATTCAATTACAGGGTAAGCAGACAGCTGCAGGAGCTAGGGCAGCCTAGGTCCTAAAGAAGACCCCTGACAATTTCCACTTCATTTCTAACCCACACCACTTTATTAGTGTGGATTACTTCCTAATCCTATTGCCATTGTCAGGATTATATAATTAAACTCCCCTTTCACCTCTATTACTGTATGAATGTATTACTAGTAGCAAGAATAGAAGCAAAATAAAGGAGGAGGAAATGGGTAAATGGATATGAAGGGAAAGACTAGAGAATAATAGCATTCTCCACCTTATTCTCTATTCCCGTCCTAAGTCCCTCACACTATACCCCAATTAATTTTACTTTACTTCACACAGGAGATCACAGGTCATCAGAGTAGATGCCATTACACATTTTGGCTTTCCATTGCCATTCACTGCATAGTAGTACAGGTTGAACATATATGGATGTCATTAAATATAAGATTTCTAATGCCTTTTCTCTTAAATGAAGATGATCAAAACAGGTTATATAATTTTCCCTAAAGAAATCATAGAATCTTTCAGACTTTCCTCAAAGAGGGACAGAGCCAAAGGCATTTAAAAAAAAAAAAAAAAAGCCATTTAATGAATGACTAAAATTTCAGGCTAAACAAGAGAATTTTTCCCATAAGGGAAGTAAAAGTGAAAATCTGCAGAGTACAAATCAAAATTCCTACATCAGGTAAAATATGTGAATCCTCTGTAAAGCCACAGCATTCCTGAAATGAGTTTTTGAGGGAGTTAAAGGTATATCAGCATGTTCACTAAGACCTGTATATCAAAGCAAATAGCTTATCTGCCTCCAAGCTGTATTTACAAAACAATTGGCAGAATTCTACTTATAACTCTCACATTACAGAGATTAGGTAACTCCCATGGACTGGGTGAAGCAATTTTATTTTGCTGTTGCTGCTTTTAAACACTTTTTTTCTTTTCCTGTGGAAATAATTCATTAAAATTAGCAGGGTAGAGACCGAACAGGATAAGAAAATAAAGGAGAAAAGTGTTGCAGGTTAGGTGGAAAATGTTTGAAGGCACAAAATTTTTTTTATCTTGTGTAACTGTGGGTGTAAACTTAGTAGTCCTCGTGGTCACAGCTGAAAAAGTAAGTAATTAGATGCTTATTGGCCCAAAGCAAGCGGAAATATCTGCACGAGCACTGAATTTACCGGTGAAATTCTCTAAATCTTTCTCATCCGCGGATGACAGGGTGTCGTCGTCGCCTTCAGGGAGGACCTCGGTTTCTGAGTTCTGATTTCCTAAGGCCTGACTCCTGATGGACTGTTTTCCTTTAGCAAGGATATCTTCATCTGCAGCTGAAATGAGAAGGAAACAAAGCTGTCCATCAGCCCCCGAGGAGCGCTTTGGCAGAGGGGCAGGGAAACTGTGGTAAGGCGAGGTGGGCAATCATTTGCACACGGAGTTCTCCGCACTGGGGAAAGGGGCTGGGATGGCACGTGCGATCCTTCTGACAAACGGGATTCCCCAACCCTAGTCTAATGTTACCCTGAACATGCACCCTAATCCCATTAAATCTGACCCTCACCGAACCATTTATTTACTCAGAGATAAGGCAGGAGAAGGTTCAAAAGCAGCACATTTTTGGAAATTTTGTCAGTAGAAAAAAAAAATCAGAACCTATTTTTACAAATAATGCCTACATAACACTAAAAAATAAGGAAGACCGGTTCACATTCCTGGGATAATATACTGATAAACATTTTGAAATGTTTGGGGAATGGCTATGAAAAAGAATCCAGAATGAAGAAGAGTCAGAGCTAGGAGAGTTACAGCTACTGGGGACTCAGGCCAAACCCTGAAGCCATATCTGCCACTCATAAAGCTCTGGCAGTTCTTAGAGGCTGTGTTCCCTTCCTCTTAACTTCACCCTCCCTCCTTCCTTCACCTTGCCCTTGCCCCACCCCCGCGCCCCACCAGCACCCTCACTTCGGCCCTTAGACAAATATCCAAGAGCAAGGCAGTGTGGAAACTAAGTGGAGACTCAAACACTACCTCCTCCCTGTGTTTAAACTAAAGGGCTAAGACACCCCGGGGGCAAACATAACAGAAAGCCTAGGATGAGAGGCATCTGGGCAAGAGCCTCATGCTGCCTGAGCTGCAGCAGCCTGTGGAGAGCAGCACAGACTCGGAGGCCGGAGGGAGGGGGAGCTTGCAGGAAATCTGAGGAGTGAAGAAGCAGCTCTGTGGAGCACCTACAGCCAACAAAGGAACCACAGACAGAAGCAGAGGTGCAGCCAAAAGGAAAAAACACTGATACCCAATATACTGACTTCAAAACCCCATGTCCCTCCAGAGACTCCGCTGCTTTGAGCGGCTTTCTCCCTAAGAAATACATAAAAGCAGATACTGACTGCCGGATTCTGATTTTTAAAAGCTCATTGTGTCACATAAGGGAAAGTTTAGCATCCTCCCTCCATCCCTGATTTCCAGCTAGGGAAATCCCAGAGGCAAAGTACCTGATCTGCCCAGGCAGCAGCTATTGATATGGAAATCAGATGGACGGGCTTTTAGCTCCACAGCAGTTCCTGCCCAGACATAAGGCCCAAAATCCACAAAAGATAAAGCCCTCAGTTTGCAATAACGTGACTAAAATTTATACATGTCATATATGCCAAATATGTATGTTACCTGGTTAACCTGAGAAATCAAAGGTCGTTGAGATGAGTAGGAATGGTTATGGATAACTTTAAAGGGTGAAAGTTTATTTTTATCATTTATTGTGAGTTCACCAGATATATCATTCACATATAATATGTATGGCACTTCTTAAAATAATATAGGTGCCTTCTATTAAATAACAAAGTCATGAAAAGAAGCTTTCATTATTTAGCTCTGAATATCCTCTATGGTAAGTAAAATCTTTTTTCCCTATGCTGCAAACATATGAAGGTCTCATAAATAATTGGAAAACAATTTAAGAATCCATTTTAAGTGGGTCTGTATTTTTAAAAGCTACAAAAAAATATACTAAACCCAATACTTTTAAAGAACATATCATTATATGTTTTTATATCATTGCTTATATTTCAAGTATTTGTTTCTTACTTTGAAATCATAAACACTGGCTCTTAAGCCCAAACAAGATCTTTTTCAATTTGCTATCAATTTTACTAAAAATAAATTGGTCACTGATAAATACAAGAGAAATCACCATTTTATATATTTTCTTATAAAATACATTACAATAAATTAACAACTACCAGTCAGGTTTTAGTACAAAATCAGCATGTTATGTTCTCAATTCCTGGATTTAAATTCCTTCTTCTAAGCAGAAATAATAATGCTAATAATAAACAACACTTATCATGTGTCAGGAAGTGTTCAAAGCACTTTACATATTTAACTCATTTAATTATCACAAACCTCTTCTATTTTTCCTTTTCAGATGAATAAACAGACTCAGAGAGGGTTGCATAACTTGTCCAAGGAACATAGCTCCTGAGAAGAATTAGGAGTCTGTGGCCCCGGAATTTGAGCTCTTAACCACTATACAAATATTAATGCAAATGCAACTTACTGGTTCTTACATTTCCACCTACTAATTCTTACATTTCTCATAGTGTTTTTTAAAAAGGTAAGTCAGAATTATAACAAAAAAGTAAAGAATAAAAGGTGTTCATTTCCAAACCTAAATCTGATGAACGTATGACAAACACATCAAAAACAACTAAATTCAACACCTTGCTCATTACTTCTCTGATTAGTGCCATACATGTTGTAAAGTATGCCAAGCCTATTTGAAAAAGAAAAAAAAAAGAGAGAGCGAGCGATAGAAAAACCCCTTTAATCTGCAAACATTTACAAAAAAAAAAAAAAATTAGAGAAGCCAGTGGCAATATAAAATAGCTCAGTAAATAAATTCACATTCACTTAAATGACCATTAAATATAAGTTTTTATCCCTTGCAACTGGAATTTAAAATTTTTTAAGTGTTCTCATCATGCTGACACATTAAAACACAGAAACACTGAATTAAATAAAATTTTATGAAAAGAAGTTTAAAGTATTCTAGTCCTACTATACGCATACAAACACGCACTTTTTATTTATTTACTTATTTTTACAAGCTCAGATTCTGGAATTGTTCAACCTCAACTGAAAAACGTCTTGTCATGGAAAATATGCAGCTTACTGATATTTAGAATGGTTTTCCTGTAATTAACTCCCCCTTGAGGATTTTAAGTTAGCAGCAGTAAAATTACCAACAGTACTCTAATACACACCACATGCGCTGGCATTCAATTCTCAATGGTCTAATAGCTTTCTGCAAAAGAACTTTTTTCTCCTCTCAAAATTAGGACAAAAAATGCCCCAAACATAAAATAAATGATAATTATCATGTTTATGTGCTGGGAAAAGTATATTTTTAACTTTCGTTTGCCTTATACTCAATTAACCATTGAAACAAGTACCAACTCTTTTGATGTGAATATATTCTACACTTTATAAAAGTTTCACTGAATGAAGTCAGAACATATTTTTGGTTCAGTTTAAAAGTTTGATTCGAATCTTTTTCTAGCTAATCAAAGTATTTCCAAAGATAGTAACTATTTAAATTTTTATATCACTATTAAAAGATTGCCTTCATCTAATCTCATATTTTATTCTGGTTTAATATTTATACTAACTTAATAACTAGAGTACAATTGTTACATAAATTGGATAAATTTGTCAAAAATGCATTCTTTGAATCATGACTTTAGATTCACAGAAGCTAAGAGCAATGAGAGGAATCAGAGAGAAGCTGGTCCTCAAAATGTAAAGTTCAGTTTCTTCAGAGCTAGCACTGGACATGAGTTGATTGATTCATTCAACACAGGCTAGGTAAGTAAAATTGAAAGAGAATAAAAACATGGAAAACTGTTCTACTTATGATATAAATCTCCTTTTAAAAGTTTACTGCACAGTGAACTAGTAATCAATAATCCATATCACAATAAAAGTTTAAACATTAACCATTACCATCTTATTTTTTAAAAATTACTGCTGAGATAACAGTGACTTCAAATGTACATAAATTAAATATGGGAATCCACTTAGTGTGAAGTACATAGCATAACTGTTTATTCTGAACAGAACACCATAGAGTTATGTTATAGACAACCATTTTCCTAAAATAGTTTATATCATTTGTGCAGTCTCCAAAGGGTTCCAAGTTAAGAAGATTTACCCTAGGAAAAATTGGTGGAACTACAAAGGATGATGATGAGAACAAACCAATTTCATCTCCTAATGACGCCAGGTTCCCGGAAAGTGTTAGACAGAGAAGCTAATAGATGTTGAATTATGAAAAGAAAGAAAGAGTATCTGTCATTACTGAAGTTATGAGAGAATGGTATCATTTAGGACCTTTACATGGTCTGTCATTCCCACAAAACCAGATGAGGTACTTGTATCATCTATATGATTACCACATACTGTTTAAACTGTGTTAAATCCTCCAAATATATTTCTATTAACATACACAGCATTACAAAATAAAAATATCTTGAATTCAATAGGAATCTACTGCTAAATTTGTTCAATGTTTGAATTAACCCTAATCTTTCTACCATTTAAAACATGTTTCAAATGGCTTTAATTTGAATATAAAATGCCCATTATATTTAACAATTGATTTTAGAAAACAGCATAGCACAATGGTCCCCAAAATCTGATTAGTCATCGATTAACCTGGGCTCAATCCTACATTTACCAAGAATTATGTTGGCCTTTTCAAAACTCCTCCATTTCCTTTTATGTAAAGAATAAAGTTAGACTAAACTTTAGCCTAAGTTTTTCCAAATCTATAATGCTGTGATAATAACTGATAAGCTGGCCTCTGAGCATTAGGAGAATGTTACAAATCATTACAACTCATTTCTAATAAAAATTAAACCTATAAAATGGACCAAGATGCCCTGGAGAATCAAATATCCACCTCCGCTTGCTGCTGCTAATTTCCATAAAGAATATTTAATCACAGAAGGAAGTATTGGTTTTAATTTTAAAATATGACTCAGTTTCTGCAAAGTTAAAGAAATCTCCCATTACAAAATGACTTTTATAAATAACCACTTTAGAGGGTCTCTCTTTGAAAAATTACCTAAAGCCCTTTTCCCCAAGCAAGTTAATGTGAACTTGGGAAGGGCAATTAAATTGTCAGAATTAAAAAATTTGTTTTTAACTAGAAGGTAGCCAGAAGTAGAGTCATGGGGCTAGTATTGATCGCCCGTACAGAGAACATCACTCTTCAGGTATTTACTCTGCCACCTTTACACCAGAGGCTTTCCTTCAAATCAAATCAATCCATAAAAAAGATGGCTCTTACTACTAAAATACATAACTAATCTCCAATGGCATTTCTATTAGATGCCATCCTTTAATAAAAATAATATAATTTATGATGTTTTAAGATACTGCATTTTCAAAATGTCCTGTCTTCTTAGTTAAATCAATTATAAAAAAGTGAGAAGTTATAAAACCAAGACATTAGCCAGTAATATCTATTTTAAATATTCAAATTCCACGTTAGAGCATAGTATTTATCCACGCTAAATTCTATAATTCCAACTGCTTTTTTTTTTTTATCATATTAACTGGGGTTTTTTTGCATTCTTGACTCTTACTATGTTTATTTTCATTAGCTTTCTGTTGTTATTAAGTTAGGAATAAAAAACAAAGACTTAAAATTAACACAAAGTTAAAAATGAATGACAACTATAAGATACTTTAAAAATATTTTAAAATTAAGCTCTTTGTTTACATAACACATTAGCATAATTTATGCTAATATGTTATGTAAACAATACTATAGCACAATTCATGTGCTGAGTTCCAAAACTGTCTAATATTTATTAGTTAAAATAAAAATGACATACAAAATATAATTAGAGTTTATATCTTTTTTAAAAAAATGTTATATTAAATATGACATATCTTCTTAACTGGAAGACCACTGAAGAATCTCCTACACATTTAATTAGTTTTTTAAAATATACATTTCAGATTTAAATTTTGTTTTTAATCTTTTCAGAGCCTTTTAAGTATTAATGCAAAATGTTATCAAGTAGAATGAAAACTGCATAAAATGATTAACTGTACTTCTCTCTCTCAATGTGGAAGTACATAATAAAATACAGATAAGTAATTAATACTATATTAATCTTTCAATTATTATTTAGAGCCATTAGAGTGAAATCTGCTTCTATATAGGATTTAAAATGTCTTCATTAAGTAATAGTAAGCATTTCTAATAACTTTTTTAAAATCAGCCTTTTAGCATTAAAAATGTTGTCATGATAATTATTTTTAATGTAAAATTCAACAATAAGATATAAACTGATTCATTACGAAGAAGCTTATCATGCCCAAAATGGCTAAATATACTATTTTTGAAAAACAGACTTTAATAAGCTCTGTCATTAAATATATTCCACAAATTTTAAATTCAGTTACTGATATTTCAGATAAAAGGACTAACAGTTCACCTCTGTGCAATTTTAGAAAACAATCCCTCTTTCCAGATATAAAACAAAAAATTTTCATGGAAGCATTTTTATTTCCATTCATTGACTACAGAACTCACAACTCAATGTGAAATGACAGTTAACAAGACAGAAAAATACTTATTAAATTTTAAGTGCACATGGTAACAACTGTTTGACTGAAAAGGATAAAGCCCCATAAAGGCTGATTTTTCAATGTAAGGGTCATTAGCCAAAAACAAAAACACAAAAACAGGAAAGGTAGGGGTGTGTGTGTGTGTGTGTGTGTGTGTGTAATCTCTAACACCACATAAAAAGTCCATGAACCTTAAAAGCAAAAGTGGCCTAATTAATTCTACATCTTATTTCTCCTTCTCCACCTCCTGCAGTTGAAGATGTAGGGCTCTGAGACTATTATTGCTTTTAGATCACTTTGTTATTGACTAGTCTCTGTATGATCATTTATTTTAAAGGACTGATGTCACATTTGGTGTTATATATGACATATTGTGGACATTTTCTTCCAGAAATGGCTCTTTAAGGCAGAGTGCAAGAGGTTAAGCTGCCTGACTGAGGCCAAATCTAAGACCACAGACTTTTAATCTAAATTCCCAATATCCTTATTTATGTAAGTTAACATGTATTTTTGTATACTGGGTACTATCATTTAACTATAAACTGCTGCATATTAAACTAATCCCTTCCAAACGAGAAAATAACACTATTTCTTAACTTATTAAAAAAAATAACCAATTTTTATTTTATAAAATCATTATAATTTTACTATGGAGAGGGACATTTTCTTCCTTAATCAATACATCTTAATAGACTTTCAAAAATTATAAAGTATTAAGTGAAGCCATATGTCCAAAGAGAATAAATTATCAAATCCAAATGACTTTTTCAGTTTTCCAATTTGCTCATCAGGCTTCTTCTACCTAAACTGAATCATAGTGATATGCATTATATCAAAATAGGAAAAGTGTTTTGTTAAGCTCTGATAAGAAGATGATGCAGAACAGGAACATTTGAAAATAATGCCTATTCTCTTCTTCCACGAGTCATTTGTCACAACCACCTACAAATCAAGGCTTAGAATGTATCTAGCCACTTGGACATTTATTATCACATCTCCCACTTCATAATCTCATGCTAAAATACCCTGGTTGAGGGAAAACCATACACACACAACAGAACCTGGAAACGTATTTGGTTTGTAAATGCTGTCTTTCTGTTATTCATGGATCTAAGGCCGGTGTCCTGGATTAATCCACTCAAAGCTGTACGTGCCATTTTAAAGGGTATTTTATCCTCCTGCTCTGAAACAAAGGGTCTATATAAGTTTTTGTATGTGAACATAATAAATAAATACACTTGACACCATAATTTAATAGGACTCTACATTAACTATAAAAAATGTAACTTCTCTTTCTGGGGTAACTAGGAAATGTGGTGTTGGGACCATTTTACAGAGCCTTGTAATAATGAAGATATGCTCTTCATTACCAAGTACTGTACCTGCTGCTACTGGCAAGGAGTAGTTTATACACTGACCATGTTCCACGGCTGTTTTTAGTGTCGCTTCAGGATGTGTCGATCCTAGAGGGTTACGCACAAATCGTCGCCGGCGCCGCAAGTCATCTTCCCAGTAGTCAAGGCGCCAGAACTCACGAGGACGACTACAATGAAACAGAGAAGCCACATATGTTAGCAATTATCAAACAGCGTGGTAGCACTGAATTTCTGCATAAAGCTCTCCTTGTTTGCTCTGCCTTTTTTTTACCCCCCACCCCCTTTCCTCTTAATTCTCCCTCCACCTCACACTCCCCTTTCTGCAATCTTTAACTTAGGTATGTCCTTGAAAATAACAATATCACCTTCCAGTCTAAGGAACTCCTTTTCCTTTTTCTTGGAAGGTGAAATGAGCACTAAATACATCATTTTGAAATGAATTGCTGACAGTGTGATCAGTTTCCCCACACTCCAGTGGCATGTGCTCTGATTTCAGCCTCATTTCAGCCTCAGCAGGGCACCTTTCTCTGTGGCTGCATTTATAAACCAGAATAGGGAAAAGGCTATTATAAATATGGTATAACATTACCTATATTAATCAAAGTCTGTCCCCCTTCATTTTTCTTCCTAATTTGTGCCTTTTTGCACAAGGTCAGTAAATCATACCATGAATTCTTGGTCCAGAAAGTGTTAACTTTAATGAATATCTCAGTTACATGGTTATGTATGTGATAATAAAATATTACTCTGTTTAGATGTGCAGGAATTTAATTAAAATAATCTCTTAAAATATTCATTACATTTAGCCCCTGAGGCTTAGAACAACACAAGAAAATGCATTTCTTTTCCATTTACTGTTTTTAAATAAACCATTCCTATAGAGTGAAATAGCAATCTATTTTCAAGCAAATCAGATTGGATTTCTGTTTTATGTAGTCTGTTTTTATATTTAATTAAAAACTACATGCTATATGATGTGCAATAATTGCTATATCAAAAGCATACTTTTGGAAATATATTTTTTAAAGGGTTCACTCAATTCAAGTTCTATATTTTCCCCAATTATGTAGATGTTGTACATGGCAATGCATAAATGTCAACTTTCTCTCCTATTAACTAATTGTGATCTAACATGCTGGAAAATATTTTATAAAGAAAACACTAATAGTAAGAAAAAAATCTCTGCAGAATGTACTTATTCACTAAAGATACACAGCATGAAAACCTATGAGTCTCGATAATGAAATTTTAAAAATTCATAATCGAAACTTCTGCAAGTAATGTCTAATATAAAATAAAATCTCACTTATGTTTCATGAGCTAATAAAATTGTACCTGTCAGCTTTGACAAATTAGTAGTCTTGAGCAATTGACAGTCCCAAAATACTCACATAAAAGTTACCCCTATTTTAATGTTTTAAAGTGGTATAAAATTCGAAAGATTTATAGTGAGTACTTAATTAAAAATTATCCTATATTAATAAGAGCATAGGTAACAACAGTATATTATTTAAAGAAAATATTTTTTTTTAAAATAATAGGAATCTATGCTCTTTTCTGAGAATGCTGGATAGACACAGAGAACACAAACAATTTTCCTTTGTTGATTTTGATCATGCATAAAGAGGAGATATAATGCACTCAAAATGGAGTGCCGAAGAATATAAGAATTAACAGACCTCAAAAGAAAAATTAAAAAGCTTTTATTCTTCTTTGTTGTTCTGCTGTTTAAATTTTAAATGAAAACTAATGTTATCGTTTAAAAATAAATAAGGAATACCTACAGAATATACACACAAACAAAAGACGACAGTTGTTTGAGCTCAATTAATGAAACAAAATTCTCCTTAGGTGAGAGGGGGAAAGGCACACAGATGGCTCTGTGCTTGGCTTTGATAGTCATGGAGCTCGGATAGGCACTTCATCATTCTGCCTACCTACATTTATCTGTTAAAATTATTATCAAATATCAGCCAGGATGCAGTCGTGAATCACAGGCTGCTCCTCGTCTTCAGGGGAATGATACAATGAGGGTCTATTCATCAGTGCGGCAATCGGCACAAGTAATTAGTTCCCTAGGCTGAGATCCCCTACAAGGCCTATTTCAGTCAGCACCACAAACATATGACCATGTAAAGCTAATGAAAGCTGCTAAAATTTGTTAACCTTTTCTGCCATCAATCCTTCTAATATTCCATGCTTCAGTATTATGCAAAGGTGGTAAATTATTAATTTGTCATTAATCCATCCTTCTGAATTTTGAATCAAATTAAAAGATGTCATTCTTCTTGATAACAATTAAAATTATGAGATGTTAAGCTGCTATTATAAAATTATTACTAAATTAGGTAACAACATATTGCAGTATAATGCATGAGAATGAAGTCAAACTGAAGGCTAATAAAGTGTGTGTAGTGGTTTTGTCATACAGTAGAAAAAAAACAGAGGAATTATAAAATCACCCACAAATTATCAAGTAACTAAAAGATAGCATGTATAAGAATAATAATCAAAATTAGAAGCAAGCAGAACTATAATATTTATTTCTGTGCTTTGTGATACTAACAAAAAATTGTCACAATGGTGACATTTGGCTGAAACAAAAGCCCCAACACATTAAATCTGAGAATTTGTCTGCATAGTAAAAAAAAAAAAAAAAAAAAAAAAAAAAAAAAATGTTTAAGACAAGGTTTGCACTAACTACATATTTCTGTCTTCAAATGTAAATATCTTACCAAACTAAAAAATACTTAGATATAACACAAGCAGAATGAAGAACTTTATACCTTAACATAATCTGCACAATAAGCTATGTCCTCAGACTACCTTCTCCATACAAGTCATCTACTTCCTGTACAATGCTTTAAAGTATTCTGAAGACAAAGCAAACACCACTTATTTCAGATCACAAATCTAGAATGAAATGCAAAAATCACATAGAGAGATCAACATTTTCAATGTCTTTTTGAGAGTCTCGCCATATAAAAGCACTGTTCTAGGTGACAGGATGAAACCCTTAGGGAAGTTACTCATAATGGAATACTTACTGGCCTCATCTGAAACAATAGCATTTATCACCCAATTTCTGTTGGTGAGCGTAACACATGTTCTTTGGACAGAAGTCATACTCATTTTTTCAGATGAAGGTAATTACAAGCATGTTTAAAGTCACTTACACAGTAACAAAACTGGGCCTAAGAGTGTAATGTTTTGTCCTCTTGACCCTAACTCCCTCCAACACATTCAGTATATAAAATTCTATCACCCAAAAAAGAAGCATGATTTGTCATTTGAGAAATGATCAGAAAGGAGAATGTGTAGTTTTCAATTATCAACATACTGTAACTTCTGGTCATCCATATAAAGTTTTCACTCTCATTTAAGAAATATTGCCATCCCCTCCCCCAAAAATCCCTGCTAGGAGAAACAGGATTAAAAAAATGGCAAATTTGGCATAGTGACCCAACTTTCACCCCATAAGTTTATGAATTAACAAAACAAATTACTGTACTATCATGGATGGTTAGTAAAATTAAAAAGACTCCAAGAATTCAAAGAGATGGTGGACCAAAACCAAGTATGGATGAGAAATCATTTATTCTGAAGCCTTACAAATATGTTTAGATCACTATATAGTATCCCCCTCCCTCTCTCTCTATATATATATAACTACTCCCCAAAATTATATTAATACTACATGATGCCAACATCCACAAACTTCATCTTTATCCATTTCCACTAATAACTAAAACTAAGATCACAAGAATTATTCAAATTAAGGATGTGAGCCTGGGATCTGTAAGATCTGGAAATAAAGCCTTTTCTGTAAAAGGGGCTATAATTAGGTCCCCTATCAATACACAGCCTCTAAGTAGTACTCAAATCTTTGACTAATAGGAATACATGTGTCTTTGAAAGTTGAGGATGATACTAAAATTAGATGTTATAACTTTTATTTCTAATTATTTCTCCACAATGTTTGTCCTAATGTCAAAATCTGAGATTAAAATTACAAGGTAGCTCTAATTGTCTTTTTCTAATTATAAATCATCTATCTTTCTAAATGTAAATCTTTTACATTTATGTTTGTATACACACTTCTTTAACATATCACTACAATCTACAGAAAAGAATACAAGATGATGCCATTTTATATATACAGAATATATATTTTCTATTCAACAAACACAGAATTTGATAGATTGCTGAAATAACTCTTAGAAGGGAACATAACTGAAACATCAATACCAATTTATTCCCTTTCCTAGGCCTATTGTGGTTAGTGATCAGGCAAAACAAATGAATAAGAATAAGCAAAATGAAAATCAGTTCTAAAAGGTAAAAGTATTTAAAGAGAGAATCAAGCCCTAGTAAGGTGGCTCAGATGGATGAAACATCGTCCCACACACCAAAAGTGTGTGTTCAATCCCCAATGGATAAATGTTTCTCTCTCTTCCTCTCTTTCTCTCTCTCTCCTTTCCTCCCTTCTTTAAAATCAATTTTGAAAAAAAAAGAAAAAATACACATATATCCTCAGGTGACAGTTAAAAACAAACCTCGCCGAAACCGGTTTGGCTCAGTGGATAGAGCATCGGCCTGCAGACTGAAGGGTCCCAGGTCTGATTCCGGTCAAGGGCATATACCGTGGTTTCGGGCACATCCCCTGTGGGAGTTGTGCAGGAGGCGGCTGATCGATGTTTCTCTTTCATCGATGTTTCTAACTCTCTTTCTCTCTCCCTGGCTCTCTGTAAAAAAAATCAATAAAATATATGGGGGGGAAAAACAACCTCACACAGAATCAATTATTAAGATATGACCCACATTCTTCCTATAATAGTTGAATGATTCAACCAAAAATAATCTATTATTTTCCACATGTAAATTATAGATTTTTTAAAGTTCAGTTTTCCTCAAAGAAAGTATGGTAAGCCAGTTAACAATGTATGAATAGATAAATATTGAAAAAAGAATTCTAAACTATTTTCTAATAACAGTGATTGACTCTTTCCTTAACTTGAGCCAGATGCTAGGGATATAAGAACTATTAAGATATTGTCCTTAATTAAGAAGTACAAATGGGACTCAGTAGTTAAGAGTGTTGTCCTGCACACAGATGGGTCTCAGGTTTAATTCCCGGACAAGGGCGCATATACCTGGGATGTAAATT